ACGAAACGCATTGATTGAAATGGTAAACATGGTCACAGACAATTTAATCGTGGCGAAGAGCCTTGACTATTCAAACTAGGGGCTATTGTTACTGGTGGGAGAATATCCCATCATTCAACTTGTCCTTTGTGAGGAGGATTTTGGTTGGACGACTCTCTGCGATTTGAACCCTCAAGGTAGGGATCGCTTTTTCTGATATTCTATGAGAGTTCTTACGGTGAGGGGTTGTTAGCTCCACGTCCAACACCCAAGCTGGAGGACCACCCCTTGTCGGCTGTCCGCGACTGATTATTCAACATATTCGCAGCATCCTTCCATATCTGTAGGAGTTCTGCATCCGCAACCTGAGGACGTGCAGTGCCGTGGTGACGAGGGACCCACGTAACATGGAGCAATGCTTAACAGCTCAAATTAATGTACAGACAAAGAATTGAACTAACAGGAACAAGAGCTTGTGCCAGTTATGCTCTCTAGCTGAGAGCCCGAAGGCGGTAACCTTACCGTAGTGAAGGAAACGTTACGTCATTACAACGCTGTTGTACAGTGTATTAAACAAATTCGACACTCTAATCTACTTTCACGTATTTCAAAAAAAATATTTTGAAAACAACAAACAAACGGAATGGTCTGACAAATCATATTTACTGACTTTTCCGAAACATTGCTTAGTCAGTATATAGTGACTGGCTACCGGTTGGACGGCAGGGGTTCGATACTCGAAGACGGCAGAGGATTTTTCCTCTAGCCTCTGCGTCTAGAACGGCTCTGGGGTCCACCTAACCTCCTGTACAATGGGTACCGGGTTTCTTTCCCCGGGGATAAAGCCGGCCGGGGCGTGATGCTGACCACTCACCCCCATCTAGTGCCGAGGTCAAGAATGAGTAGGAGCTATACCTTCACTCCCCCCAAGTGCCTACATGGCGTATAGCAGGACATCTTTTTTGTGTAAATATTATTACACGTTTTATACAGAACTTATGAATGAAGTCGAATCCTCAGCTCTCTGCCAGTCGCAAGTTAGTACATTGAGCGACTTTGGATTGTCAATATTAATTACTTTCATATTAATAGAGCCCTTGTCTAAAACGTGTAACATAATAACAGTATGATAGGATCTGTACGGGAAAGCAACCCTAAATGCACTTATTTGAATTGATACTAAAACGTAATCTCCCAGGGTTTGATCTTATCATCTGCTAATGTTGTTAAAGCCTCTGTTAAATTCAGAATATTAAGCTATTGATTCGATACACACTACGAAAGAGAAAGAGGGACAGAACACTCCAGGAAACAATTTGCAGCTATATATGACATTTCAGTAGGCAGAAACATGGTTTCAAAACAACAAAAATTTCTTCCTAAAGAAAGAGTTCGTGTAGGTCTGCAAGACACATTGCCAACAATCTCTGAGATCGGAAGCAAGTTTTGCATTGGTAACCCTGAAGAACTACCTCCAATCAGCATTTGGAAAGACACTGATGTTTCAAGCGAATTCTTTCACAATCAGCTCAAACCACTCTTCATCACCATGCGTGTTTTCGGGCTTTTTCCAATTACACTACCCTCCAGAGGTAAGTAAAATTAGTAAGTAATATTATGTTTTGTGTTATGTTTCGTGTTATGTTATGTTTTGTTTTATGCTATATTTTACGTTATGTTTTATGTTACGTCACGTTATTTTATATTACGTTATATTTAAAATGCCTTTGTTCAAATAAATTACTTGAAGGCGTTCCCTAATGTGAGAAAGTGTAAGATTACGAGTGTTTTAAAACACTCCCTAGGAATGTCTAAATTTTTAACATCGCGTATTTATCATCAGTTCCGATTTTTCCACAAATGACCGTTTTTTATTCACGGTGTTGAATATCCTAGTATTTACAACAATGCCAAAGCTTTTTCTATACGATGAGACAAACATTTGAGAAACATGGATTTATGTACTTAATTGAAAAACCGAAGGACTTTCTGGAACAAGGATAAATCTTGAATTGCAATACTCGACTGTAAGGGTGCTGGCGACATATTCGTGCTGGAATAACCGTACAGGAGCAAATGTGAGTTGATAATCAATCTTTATTTAAATACGCATTTCACTGAACGGTTAATGAAAATGCCATCAAATTATCTTTGCCGAAAACATATTTGGTCTAACAGATCATTATGCACAGCATGGGTTATTCTTTGTAGTATTTTCCAAGTTATTTATTTTGCCGAGATAATTCTAGTCGGTATCAACACTTATTCCACCTTCTCGGATCCAAACGTTGTCTTCGTGCACCATGCCATTAAGACGTACGGAGAAATGAAGTAAAGCTCCTGGCACTCATAACCTCCAGAGCAAATGAAAGTAAGT